CCTTTTATATGATTCAACCCAAAAATAAATTGAAACAGCCCCCACCCACCCCAAGAAAGCTGTAATAAAAGTATTACTAGTGAAAAATAGTTGACCTATGGGTGAAAGCGAAGAAGAACGTAATGTCAACCATACTACATCTGCCATAATCAGTGTCGACGTGGCCTTTCACTCCCTTAATGTCGTTATTTTCATAATTTATTTGTTGTCTCTTTTTTTATTCTTATCTAAACAGTTTGTACCAGCTACTAGTCTTAGGCACGTAACAAAGAATCCTAATAAATGATGCCAGAACTGTACTGGATTTACCACTTAAAGGAGGAGAACGGTGATTATTTAGTGTAGGTTTTTTACTCATTATATTGGTGTTCCAAATCAACCATAATTATGCACTGATAGTCTGGATTTAGGTGCCTAAATAAGTGAACATACGCTGGTGGAGGATAGTGACCTTGCCGAGTTCACTGCCGAAAAGAAAAAAAAATCTGCATACCTGATTGATTTTACGACGACTGCGCTTGGCATTGGGCCGGCGGTTGGGCGACTTGTAAAGTGCCTGTAAAGGCGCTTGTTTGGCAGATCGCGACGTCGTGGTGTTACACTGCGGCCTGCTTCAGTCTTTCGTAGCTAGTTGATACAAGCGGGAATGATCTAGTCACTGTCTCGCGTGTTTTCTCACTACGTTGTTTTAGGAGAGGATTATGGATCCTGGTTTTGGGACGTGGGGTTCGTCTTCAGGAGCCGAGATGCAGATAACTCAACCATTTAGGTAATTTTTTTTTATTTTTTTTGGAATTACACAGGTTAAGGTCTTGCACTGAAAATGTAATAATTTCATAGAGCAAAAATTGAATTTATTCAGTTTAGCGGAAATGGGAAATGTATGAGTGGTAATGCTATTTGTATTTTTAGTGGATTTTCAGATAACTCACACGCACACCTGCACTTGATACTGTACTGTGTACTTGTATTTATAACTTCCAGTACTTTACGATGATTGTGGAATAAGATTAATACAATAATGGCCAACGAAAGATAACCATGAGTCTCATAATTTGCTTACAATTTGTTCATCAGCTCGCGACCTTATCAAACGCTTTGAAGTAAGCTTTTAAGTTTAACAGTATTGGGTCATACGTCAGGCCTCCAAGTGAAACCTTTAAGTCATAAAAAGATTTTTTTTTTTGTTTTGTTTTGTTCAAAATAAACCAAAACTTTTTGAGAGCATCAACATTTTAAGGTAAACTTAAACTTATAAACAAATATTGCCGACAAATTTTCGTTACTGTATTCATATCATAATTACCCAATAATCGGGTCCCTGGAAATGATTTTATTAATTTTACGGAATTTTATTAAGTGGGGGATAACTATTAGAATTTAAAGTAAAATGTCAACACAAACTAATGAATCTCTTTACGGAAATTTTAGAGATGTGTATAGAAATTCGTATATTTTCAGCAAAATATGAATTATTTATTTAACTCGTAGTTTGAAACAACAATATACTCTTATTTTTAGAAAATGAAACCGTTAGACTGTCTTTGCAGTGGCCTGATGTATGGTAAAATGAGTGATTAAACCATATTTGTTTTTCAAGATATTTAAAAAAAATTTAATGTATTCGGTAGTGTAAAGTATTTTCTCGTCAGCGCTAGTATGGAGTAAATTTTCAGAATTGCAAGCAAAAATCCAAACGTCGTCTGAAAACTATAGCGGTAGGGGGTGGGGGGGATAAAGCTCGTCACACTATTCGAGACGAATAATCCATCAACTAAAAATTAATTAGTAAAAGCACCGAGTTGGCGAATAACATATACATATTTGCACTTGTGTGTGTAAATATACGAGAAGAGACTTAAACTGTCAAAATTACCAGTGCCTGAATACACTTTATCGAGGCTTAAGTTACGGCATTTTTTTTATTAACTAATCTAGAAATTTCAATAAATATCAGATGTAAGGGGAGAGCAGCCACTTCTTAAACAAGATGGAGTCGGTCGGGGCCAATGATTTGTGTCGATTAAGATCGCAAATATTCTCTGTGTTCCTCCAGGACATCGGCCTCTGGCTGAATGAATAAACCAATGCAGCTGACGATGATTACGTCAGAGGTTAATAACCGGCGTCATTTACATATCGTGATCTTGAACCCTGTCTTGGTGAATCACGTGAACAACGCTGCCAAACGCACGTGAACCTCCCCCCCCCCCCAAGTCTCGTTGTTGCTAGGGTGTAGCCTAAAGGCTATAATTTTGTTTTTTAAAGTGCAACTCGTTAAATATTTTAACATTTTGGCGTGGAATAATACACACAACAGTTCAGACCATTTTGTAACGTTTTGTCAAAAGTTCAGAAAGATTAGTAGGTTGTGTCGAGATGGTTTGATATAATGACTAAATGAACCACTCTACACTATATATGTATAGAAGAAGAAAGTAAAT